CTGCATGAGTATTTCCCGGATATCAGCCGCCACTGCAACTTACCCTAGACGAAATCGACATAGCATCTACATCAGCGGAGTAGTCAGGTCTGGGCCTTTTAATAGACGGTAATTTAGGGCAATCTCGGCACACTTTACAGCACAATCGAAGACAACCCGGATCCTCTAAGGTTTCTTGGTTTTAGGACTGGTTGGTGCGGAAGGTATCACAATGGTTGCTCCTTTTCTACTTCTGCCACTACGCGTTCGATATATCCCAACTCTAGATTGCGTTTCATGACGTTACGTAGGTTTCCTTCAGCTTCGCATTACTCTTCAATCGACCCTCGGGGTAGTTGAGCCTGTGGATTGCTATTTCTCGATTGTCTGGCAGTCGGTTGGATCCCGTTCGCCAAGGAAAAGATACTCCGAACGGGGTTCCGTTGTGTCATGTCGTTTCGGTGTCGATATCTAGGGCTGCTCAGTCTTCCCTCGTTAAAGATACCCGGTCATCTTCTATGTCGCCGAACTCGTGATTATAAAGCCGCTCCAGGTCTCCTATGGGATTTTCTGGCTGCGAGATGAAGTTGATTGAGGCAGAGTAATTACCGTCATTACTGAGCCATCTGCAGAGTATCCAACCAAACATCGTGCGCACAGCATACGGATCTATACGGCCTCCTATCCTTCGGTCCAGAACCAAATGAGCCTCGGGTGCACCATAGCCGATGATTATGTCCACTCAGGTGTCCGTAATATCCTCGAACGGCAGATTGTGCAGGTGAGGCCAGCGCCGCGACCGGATACTTTCGGAAGATCTCATTGGTAGGTCGGCGATAGTAAATGCCTGGTGCACCTCTATCGTATNACGAATAAGGTATTTTGTCCAGGTTGTGTTCTCGTGCAAAACTCTCTCTCACGGGGGTGGTATCCGAACCATTATCTAGAAACGCCACGGCTTGCACTATACCATGCGAAGTTTTCACTTGGATTGGTATTATTCCCAAGCGTACCAGCCCACTTGACACCCGTCCGATAGTGCAGGCAGATTTAGGTGTATCCCCCGCAGCGTGTTCGTTGGCTCTATCGACCCGGCCATTTTTTGTTCTTTGCTCGACTCCTCCATCGTGGTGTAATACGGGGTGATGCCGAATCTTGCAATTGTCTTGACCACAGTTGGTTCGGTTTCTACAAAGGGCTGCTCTNNNNAAAGCAGGACCCTGTCCTTTTAGCTACTGTCCAGCGGTCCATCACCTTCATTACCAAAAGCTCTGGGCAGTTAAGGAAGCTTATGGACACCTATTTACAGTTTGCACTTAATCGGTCTTTGATTGTTATATGAGATTATGTTGGTGCTCGCCCAGTTGTGTGGGGTAGGGGGACCTCGAGATCCAGATGGCGCAAAAATGGTTGAAAGCCTAGCGGTCCTGATGCTTCCTCTCCCCAGTTAATCGAATCGACCATTTGCTATGCGAGATTGACAACCAATGAATTTAGTGAGTTCGTCAAATGTCGCCTCTCTGTTCCTTTTCTTGATTCGATCAGCCTCGGTCGCCCAGGCTGTTTGCATTTCGGCCGACAAACATCTGACAATCAATTCCAGCGTGTAAAGTGCATCCACGTCTGACCGACATTCGAGTTGGTTGAGGGAGATGCTGCAGTTCTGCATCTTGATGACCAGGTTTGCTAGAGACCCCGTATCGCGTCGTGTGCGCCTCGCCTGTGCTAGCACCCCCTCAATCATGTTTCGTGCCACTCGGAATGGTTGGCCAAACATCTCCTCCAGTATATTCCTGGCTCTCGGGTAGCCCACTTCCGGGTCCAGCATTGCACACCCTTGTATGGCCTCCTTAGCCTTACCCCGACAGTAGTGTAGCAAAAACAGAAACCTTTGCTTTGCATCGTCGGTTTTGCATTCAACGAAATTCTCGTATTGGCGAATGAATTGGCAATATTGGCATTCAACGACAGTTTCGTATTGGCGAATGAATTGTCAATATTGTTCGGGATTACCATCGAAAGGTGTCAGTTCGACTCTTGTTTCATATTGGTGAATGAATTGGCAATATTGTTCGGGAATACCATCGAAAGGTGTCAGTTCGACTCTTGGCAAATCGGAATTGGCAATATTGATTGGGATTACCATCGAAAGGTGTCAGTTCGACTTTTGGCAAATCGAAGTTATTATTATTACGATGCCCAGACGAGGAACCAAAGAAACTGGAACCCAACAGGAAGTAACCCGGCAGGTCACTAGGGGGGGGTCTGGGTCATGTTGATTCTTTAGAAAATGTTAGGTCCGTTAGTCCTGTCAGTGCTGTTTGATGTGTAGATTCAGATATTAATAATAACAACGAATATAATATTAGTAATAATAATGATAACGGTATATTTCACGAAATCCGTGAGGCATGCTAGTGCGCATGATTGAATGTACAACAATGTAAAAAATGACGGTTCAAAGATTAAATGTATAGAGAGGGTATGAACGTAATTTTCAAACGAGTACAAAAGACACCGTAACCATACACTGCGGTGGAAAAGAAACACAAAGCGAACAAGGCCATATAATGCAGTACTGAAGTTGATCTGTTATGGAGATCACATCAGTGTAAACGATTGTCATATGAAGAACGTTTCGGAAGACGCAGAACTGCAGTTGAAAATATCCGCGCGGAAACCAGTTTGGAGAATAGAAGGAGGGTAGTGAACATGAAAGCTTTAGAATTTCGGAGGAAGAGCTGCGATCGAACCAGGGAAGTGCAACGGAATACAGTAGGACGGCACATGGATCATAAATAAAATATTTCAGGGATCGATACAGATGAACTGACTTCTTGAACAAGGAGTAGAGGGCTTCGGAGCTTCACCGGTAAAACATGACTGGTTTATACTATTTAGGCGTTGGTCGCATTGATGTGGGACTGACTACACGCTAGACAATCAACCCTATAACACGTTGTAGGTGAGGCAGGGGGTATGATTCTCATGCGGACGCACGTAGTCTAAACGGTGGATACAACCGCGCTCTTCAACCATTGCCGGAGCCAGATCGTCCATTGTGGGTGTAGACCTCAAGCCTTTGGCAGGCCCAAACCAACCGAATCTGAAACAAAAAAGCGAAACG